TCATTTTAATAACTTTAAGTTTTACAACTTTGTTGCCATGATAACAACGCCCTAAACGTAAAACCCTAAAATGACCATAACAATACCATTAACAACTTCACAGCTCAAACAGTACACATTTCAACAGAAGAATTTATGTAAGTGCTTAAATTCACTTACATTGGAAATGTCTCACTGTAACCTTGAGTATTGTTCTTTCTTTTAACAAAAATGATTAAATAATTAATTACCATTATGGCACAAATTCTGTTCATTGAGCTAAACCAGTATTAGACCTGGGATATTATTTTGATGTTTGCTACCTAAATCTGATTTCTGAGAAAATCTAAGATGTTTTATCCAAGAAAATTATATAAATCATGCAGTGAAGATGAACTGATAAAATATTATCAACAACAAACAAAAAAACTGGAGAACAACAAGCTGTAATTTTCTTAGTCAATAAGCCTTGAAGAACAAAACCACTTTGTTCACCTATATGCTTTATATTTTTTTATCTAGTAAGTTCTATAAATATCTACCCATGAGTACAAGCCGTGAGGCTGCATATTCAGTGCTGAGCTGAAACCTGCTGACCTTACAATACACCAGTGAGTAAAGACTACGAGTGTCTGGTATAGACGGACCGCAACTGTCTGACCCTGATTCTTCTACAGCTGTTTTACTTGTTCAGTGAGTGACTTTAGTGCGATGAGATCTGTTTTGTGTTTAAATGATAAGGATATTTGGAAGATGATGCATGCTTTTGTGGTGTGTGTGTGTGTATGTGTGTGTGCATATAAGTCCTCTCTTTCGTTCTGCGTCTCTCTTTGCTGAGGTAGCTGTACCTACTGTGACTTTGACAGAGTGTTCCCCCTTGTGTGTTGCCCCTCTGTGTATGTGTGTGTGCTATATCTGTACTGCAGTGCGTGCATGTGTGATGCTGCCTGAGCTATAGTCATTAACAAAAGAGACCCATGAGCTTGTTTGTATATGGAAAAGAAGCTCTGGCCCTCATGGATTGTTCTGACCCTTCGTCTTTGTGCGTTTGAGAGCGAGAGAGGGGCTAAACGTGATGAATGAGGTGCGGATATGCTGATAGAGCTATCATATACCGGCTTCGGCGGTGCTTGGAAATGCCATATTATGCTCACGTGTGTTTTTGAAATGGCTATATGTGTGCACAGACTCCTGTTGAAAGGCTTGTCATGCTTATCTGGTCTAGTCGGGTCTATTTCTCTCCCGTTCTCTTTCACACGCGCTCTCCGTCTGCTGGCCCTTCTTGTTACACCGCTATACCATCTCGCTCCCTCTCTCTTTCTCTCTCCCTCTCTTGCTCCCCCTCTTTCCCCCCCATTTATTGTAGAGGCTGTGTGACTGGAATACTGAGTAGCTAATCATTATTCCACCAGTGAGGCACAGTGCACAGGCTGAATGTCAATTCTCCTTCCTTTTTCCATTCCCTCCTTCTCCCTATCCCACCTCTATTCCCTCATCCATCTTCCCATTCACTCCATCATTCCTCTTCCTTTTCCTTTTCCACCTGTGTCCCTCCTTCCCCTCCCATTCAGTCCCTGCCCCCTCTCTCTCTCTCCCTCTCTCTCAGCCTTGTACCCTTGGGTTTCTGCTTGTCTCTGTAAGAATAACAAGGAAATCGTATGGAAATGAGGGTTGTATTCAAGGATTTACCATCGGTTACAGGTATAGAGCACAAGGCTTTGAAACGCCGTCATCCCAGCGCATGATTTGTGTCTCGTGTCTTATTGGAGAGTCTGTGTTCTGTTGCATCAAAAGGGGATTCTGTGCTGATGAGGCTGCGGAGCAGAGCAGAGGTGGAGACAGCTGTTGAATCCATATTTAGCTGTTTCAGGGAAAGAGAGAGAGAGAGGGGGAAAGGGTGGGATGATTCTCCAGTGTGTAGACAAACAGGGCTGCAGTGAAGGGGACTCCTGCTTAACAACAGGTGCACATAACAACCCTTAAAGAGACACAACTTGCATGTTTAGCAAATAGTTAGAAGTTAATTGTTAGGATTAGTATTGTCAGTGCGCTTGTGGAATCTGACTGTCAGTGAATTAGCTTGTTCTTTTTTTCCATTTGTGTCAAATAAAGGTAAAATAAAATAATACAAATAATAATTAAAATATATAATATATTTAAATAAAATTAATACATATTTGCCTTTAATATTATTAACAGAACGTTATATATATATATATTCCCAGGGAACACACATACTGGTAAAAAATGTATAGCCTG